ATTTGGATCCTCATACGCGCCACATACATTGTCCCCTGCTTCAACTTGCTTCAATTCTCCAGCATTGCAATTTGTTTGAGAACTATGTTATGTATAAAGTTAGTATAAAAAAATAAAAAACATTGATTGCTTTTGAATTCTGGTTGTAACATTATTATACTATATTTTGGTATTTAATCTTTAATTAAATTTGATAAATAATGTAATTTAAAATTCAAGTCAAGTCAAAACAGGTTACATACGGGTTGACCCGAACCCGGATAATATCAGGTCAAAATAACTTGATTTAAACCCAAATAAATAAATCAGGTCAAATAAGGTTATTGTCGGGTTGACCCGAACACAAAAATATCAGGTTCATGTTGGGGTTCTCAACCCGAAAACTTAAATTGATCAAAGTTTCCGGTTGGGGGGTAGCTAACCCGAAATCAATTGACCCGAACACGAACCCGACCTGATCCGTTTGCCAGCCAACTTGAACGTGAGATTTGGGAGTAAAAAGGTGGATAAATAATAAGAAGTGGGGTTTTGGGTTCCCAAATTCAAATTAAATTAGGATGACTTGTTTAGGCCCAATACATACCAAGGGTTAGAAATAAGCAATTGGTCTATTGTAGACCTTGGTCCATCTAAAATAGGTGGACCATCAGCTCAAATACAATACGAAACTCATTTTACGTGGCCCAAACTCTTGATTTTCCTTCTTTCCACTCCAACAAAATTGACAAAGATTCAATTATAAACATTTACTCTTACAATTGTTGAAAAACTTCTCTCTCCTCTACAATGCAAATTCGAGAATCGTCATGGAAGAAAAACAAGAAACACATGCAGAAAGGTAAATAAAATTTCTGAACCTAAAATTTCTTTAAATTTCTTTGAATTTGCAATTAAATGTTAATTAAATTTCTTCATTAGTTAAATTTTTGCAATTTGTATATAATTTAAAAACATTTTTCACATTTTTTAGAGACCTAAAAAATTATTCTACAAGTAGAGATGAAGATGAATTGTTGAAGCTAATCTGATCGATTTCAAGGCGTGCAGTGGTACATTGCGATTGTTCAGAAATTTTTACTAAATGTTCAAAATTTGCAATGTTCAGATTTTCTTAACAAAAGTTCAAAATTTGAAATTTTTCATAATTTTTACTAAATGTTCAAAAGTAAAGGCGTGATATTAATAAATGTTCAAAATTTTCGATGTTAAATTCGATTTTTTTTACAAAATGTTCAAAATTTGCAATCGTTCATATTTTTTTATCAAATGTTCAAAGCTATATGCGTGGTACATTGCAAATTTTTTAGATATTTTTACTAAATGTTCAAATTTTTCGATGTTCATTTCGGATTTTTTTTAACTAAATGTTCAAAAGTATAGGCGTGGTACATTGCGATTGTTTAGATACTTTTACTAAATGTTCAAAAATTTTGTTGTTCAATTCGGATTTTTTTTTTACTAAATGTTTAAAATTTGCAATCGTTCAGATATTTTTTACTAAATGTTCAAAAGTATAGGCGTGGTATATTGCGATTGTTCAGATATTTTTACTAAATGTTCAAAATTTTCGATGTATAATTCGGATTTTTTACTAAATGTTCAAAATTTGCTCGTTCAGATTTTTTTTACCAAATGTTCAAAAGTATAGACGTGGTACATGTACATATAACTAATTTTGAAACAATCAATTAATAAAAATTCATATAAATTAATAAGAACGATCAACTTAATGAGAACAATCAAATATTTCAATTAATCGATCAAAATGGCTTGAAATTGATCATAATCGGTTGAAATCGATAGGATTAGCTTCAAGAAATTCAAATAAAATTAAAACAAGGATTAAATCTATAAATTCATCTCAAAAACAAAAACTAAATCAATATTGATCACAATGAATTCAGAATAACTAACCTTGATTGATCTCTTTGGGAATTTCAACGATTTCCATCACATTAAATGCAGCAAATCAATGGAAAAACCTAAGGAAAAAAAATAAAGAACAGAGGAGAGAGAAGAATATGAAAAAAAAATAATTATGATCGAAAAAGAAATAAAATAATCAGATTAAAAAGGGGAAAGAGAGATCTTATAAAGAAGGAAACAAAAAAAAATGAAGAAGAAGCTAAGATGGCGGGATTTGGAGAAGAAAGTGAAGTTGTGTTTAGTTAAGAGAAGCGTGCGTTTAGTGCTGGTCCATATAGAATAGGTGGATCAGGGTCCATAGAAAAATTTGTAAAAAAATAAGATGTAAACTTGGGCTTTAAGGTAATTTGGACTAGACTTTTAATTTGTACGGTTAGAAAGATTATTGACAATAGCTAGTACTTCGTATGTTTTTGTTTGTTTATTTGTTTTTTTTTCAATAAGGAATAATGACTAAATAACTTAGAACTAATTTAGTATTTCAAAATACTTATAAAAATATAGAGTTTTTGTAAAATAATCATATAATTAATAATCTTATATTTAAACCCACCTAAAATTTTCATATAATTAATAATCATATAATTAAAAAAGAAAATGAGTTTTTTGTAATCATCTCACTCCTTTCGTTCTTGTACATAGTAAATCTAATACTTTAACAATAAAAATACACTTTAAATAAAATTATACATTATTTGTTTCGAGTAAAAAATAGTCTAGAAAAAAAAACTAGAGAGAAATGAGACCTTTTGAGCATGTTTGATCTAATATGAGTCTCCATGTCCTAAATGATACACTTTTGGAGCTATTTATAACCTTTTGGGATTAGTGTTTCGTTTTGCTAAACCTAAAATACTATGATATGATTGGAATATCATTGAGATTGTTCCAATTTTCCAAATATACAATAAAGATTAATTTCTAGATTTTGGCCACCAAGATAGTTTAAAAGGACAAAAAACTAAAGATATTGGGCCTTTTTGTATTTGAGCATATTATGCAAAGTAGGAGTGAAGAATCGTGTCACTATTGTAAAATGGTAAAGATTTTCAAATATTTAGTTTATATTATTACTAAAATTAAAAAATAATTCATAACCCTTGCATCGCAACAACCATCGAAGTTTGAGGGCGAAGGTGATGCAAAGGTGGTATCGGTGAAGGTGGGGGATTGTGGCACTCTACTCGCCGACACGAAGGATGTCGTTGAAAAGAATGAAATGTTGATGTTTTTCGTTGAATGCGTTGGATCCCTTGTTTGGTGTTTTTGAGGGGTTGGTTGTGGGGATGACTTTAGGTGGTGGTGGGTTGCTTTCGGGTGTAGGGGGGAAGAAATGGGTGTTTCAGTGAGGGTGGATGGTGGCAAGGGTGGGTGTTGGATAAGATGGTTTCGGTGAGGGTGAGTGGTCGCTAGGGAGGTTTTGTCTTTGGTGAGGGACTGATTAGGGATAGGAGGTGGCTAGGTGGGCTACCAAAAATTTAGGGGGAGGAAAAAGAAAAAGGTTAGGGGAAGGAAGGAGAGAGAAAAACACATGAACCAATAATCATGTGACACGTGACAATTTTTATTTTTTTTAAAAAAAAAAACTTTAATCCATTCTTCAGGTCATCGGTCATCTACGCCTTATAAAAGTAAATACCCTTAAGATTAGAATTATTTAAAGAAAATTAACCAAAGCTAAGGTTATAAAAACAATAAATAAAATTTTATAAAATATTTGTTTTTCACAAACTAATTAAATATGGAGCTGATTGAGACAATTCTAACAAGTACTCACATGAATATATTTTACCTTGTGTTTAAAGAATAACATTGATTTTTTTTTCAATAAAAAAGAATACTCCGTAACATGAATCAATTTTTTTACGGAAAAAAAAAAAATAATTTCGTTAATAATTATCCATACGAAATCTACAATAGTAATATAGATCTATAATAAAAAAATGTATCGGAAATATGACAACGTTTACAATTAATATCGTAATTTTTTGCATATTCGATACATGTCATACTCCATCGCTTCAAGTTTGATGCGAATAGTGATTTTCGATATTTTTTGCATCTTTCCAATTAAAGACTGACACATTTTTGCACTAATGTTTTGATATAGAATAGATGATAAGACCTAAACCCATGTGAATCAGATCACATCGTTCTCAACAATTAAAATTGTAAAAATAAAAATCTCATCCATATATGAGAATAAAAAAACCCAGAAAATAAGGAAGAAGACTCGCACATACGGAGAGAACAAAGTGAGAGAATTGAATTACAGTAAATTCTAAATTGGATTAAAGAAAAAGCGTTGAAGATGATAAATAATTTTCAAAGAAATTATATTATTTCCGACCAAGAAATTAAAACCCGAAAGGGAGTAAAAATTTAGGGGTCGTTTGGTTCGCATGGTGGAATCGGAATGGAATGGAGAAAAGGTATCAAAGAGAATGGAATGAATCCCTTTCCATTTAGCATGTTGTTTGTTTTATAAAAAACACAAGGGAATCACCTCCACCACATCCACAATAGCAACACTCTATTTCTTAGCCACCCTACAGCCCAACCACCACCTCGACGCCCCTCAACCTCCCTCCTCCGACCCTCACTGCCATTGATTTACCCGAAAAACTGTCCCTCACCCACGAATAACCCTAAAAAAACCCTCTCCCTCCCCTTAAAACCGTCGGCCGCCCTCCCCCCACCCTCGAAACCCTAGCGGCTAGGGTTTCGAGGGTGGGGGAAGGGCGGCCGACGGTTTTAATGGGATGGGGAGGGTTGTTTAGGGTTATTTGTGGGTGGGGGGGGGGAAGTGTTTTTGAGGAGGGGAGATGTTTCCGAGGGGAAGAAATGGGTAGGGGAGGTGCGCCGTGTTCCTGCGAAGGGTGTGGGAGGTGCGCCGACGATGGTTGGGGGATGGGCGGCAAGCTCCGACGACGGACGGGGGAAGGTTTTCGAGGGAGATGTGTTGTGCAAATGGCTAGGGGAGGGGTGGCGAGGTGGCTGGGGAAGGGGTGGCGAGGTCGCTGGGGGAGCGGCGACACTGGCTGGGGGAGGGGTGGCGAGGTGGCTGGGTGGTGGTTGTGCTGTAGAAGGTTGCTAGGTGGGGTGGGTATGGTGGTGGGTTTGGTGGCTAGGGCAAGGGAATGGAAAAGTCTAGGGGGTGAGGAATCATGTTAGAGCAAAAATGGGTAAAGTCAATAATGAAAGAGGGTAAAGGAAATGATTGATTGTGACAAACAAACAACATCAAAGATAATGGGGTATGTTCATTCCCTTTCCTTTTTATTATTATGCCCAACCAAACAACCCTTTACAATCCAAATCCACCGTTAAATTAGTTGCTAACTTCCAACTTCCCACTACTTGAAAATTAAAAAAAATCTTCTTCAATTCTTCAAATTTTCCAGAAATAAAAATGGCTACTACTGCTACTGTTGCTTCTTCTCTTTCTTATCATCTCTTCGACATTCATTCGTACTCCCGCCATTTCAGTAATCACCTGCAAATCTCTCCATTCTCCCGCGCAATTCCTTTCTTCAATTCCAATTTTTCCAATCGAAACCCTAAATCCCCTTTTCGTTTTCGAGCTCTTCCCAAATCCAAAGACCCCAAATCTTCAACTCCTCCTCCTTCAAATTCATCTTCTTCTAACTCTAATTTACAATCACCTCCACTTCTTCGCTTCAGGTACTGTTCAATTTTTGGAAAATTGTGATGATATTACATGAATTATTAGTGTTTTTGGTTGATTTTCTTTCTTTTTTTTTTATTTTTTATTTTTAATTTTTTTTTCCCTGGGTGTGTTAAATTGCAGAGATGCAGTTAAATTGGATGATCTTGGTCGGGAGATATTGTCGATTGCATTGCCTACTCTTTTGTCTTTAGCTGCTGACCCCATCACTTCTCTTGTTGATACTGCTTTTGTTGGTCATTTGGGTATTTTCATTTCCTTTTCTATTTTACTTTTTTTTTTTTTGAATCTAGCTCATGATTTTGTATGTATAATGGCATTTTTTTTTGCAACTTAATAGAAGGGTATTGAGGAAATCATTTTCTTTGTAATGTCTTGAACAAGTAATTGCGTATGTGATCCCAGCGGGTCGGCCGGTCTAGCCGTCTAGGTAGAGCCTTGCTTCAAGGCACTTGGATAATTGTAATTGTAAGGAAAATGAAGGCATATTCTTTTTTCAATATGCTATTAACTTCCGAGCTACTATGAGGCATCGGAAATTAACTAATTTAAATCAATTGGAGTTAGCAATTCGAGTAATTTGGTTGTGTGTTTCTTTGTTTGAATCCATGTTGATGAGGAAATTTACAAGAAATGATATTAAAAGTGATGTCTAGTAGCGCACTTGTGCTTATAATTTCTCTCATGTTACCCTCTCGTGTGTGAGATACTGAGATTACCAACATTATCATAAATTCATAGTTCACCAACCTAGTGCACAAGGCCACAGCTGGCTAGCTGGGGCTACAAATGCTAACAGTGAAATTTGGTCAAAGCAATTTGTAAAATTGGCCCTAAAATCACTTTTATAAAGATATAAATATGATTTTAATCAACAATATATTTTATTGATTATTAATTTTATGATAAAATTGAAGATTTGATCATTAATCAATGATTATTCTCTTTGTTTCATATAAGTAAATATCAAATTTTGGGGTCTTCTTTCACTAAGGAGCATTGTGCAATCGACCATCCTACACATGTTTAGAAGCCAGAACCACCAATGTACGAGGCTTTAGGATTATCCTTGTGGACAAGTATGTGAAGTGATAATATTGTTGTTTCTTGCAATTGGGGAGAGCAATGTATTATGGAATTTTCTTGTATAGTTGAAGTTCATGATTAGAAGTCCTAGAGTAGTATGTGTAAGTCAGTGTTTTATTGAAAATTCATCTATTTCCTTTGTCATACTTACAGGGTCAACTGAATTAGCAGCAGTTGGGGTGTCAGTATCAGTGTTTAACTTGGTATCAAAATTGTTTAATGTCCCGTTGCTGAATGTTACAACGTCCTTTGTTGCTGAAGAGCAGGCATTAGTCAGTATGCAGAATGAAACATCTAATCAAGCTGGCCAAGGTATTCACTGAAGTAATGATTCTTCAAGTTTCACACCCTACAGTTTATATAGAGCTGTTATGGCTGCTAAATCACACTGTATTTATCTCACATTGGTGTACTGCAGATTATGAAGAAAGGAAAAAAGTCCTTCCTTCAGTGTCTTCATCTTTAGTTCTTGCTGCTGGCCTTGGTGTTGCCGAAGCTGTGGCACTTTCAGCTGGATCGGGAACTCTAATGAATATTATGGGTATATCTGTTGTATGTGTGACTTGGCTATATATTTTATTCTTTTATTGCTTCAATTTGATCGAGGAACCTGTTTGTTGATGCTAGCTTATTTTTTTAAATGGATGACTGTTAGATTTTGGACTTGTGTTCATTTTCAAGAGCATCAATTACAGGGTTTGCATTATTGCTGTATCATGCTTTAAATATTTGATTCACTCTTCTTGTAGTGTAAAGATGATTAATGTGTGAATAGATAAGAAGTTGCATGATTAACAAGGAAGTTCTCCGTTGGCATAACTGTTAAATTTAATTACAAGCAGTCGCATACATACTGCAATGTGCTCATGTCTTTCAGATCTTTATGTACTATATTTATAATGTTTCTGTCTAATACACCTCAATCTCTTCTCTTTACTTTCAACATTTGAAATCATATGTAAATAACAAGTACATGTGTTGTGTCATAGGATTCACCCATGCGTCAGCCAGCAGAGGAATTCCTAACGATGAGGGCTTTTGGTGCTCCTCCTATTGTCATTGCACTTGCTGCACAGGGTACTTTCCGAGGACTTAAAGATACGAAGACACCATTGTATGCCATAGGTAAGTACTTTCGTAACACTTCTTTGAAGATACCATGTCATTATCATTCATGCTCTTTCTTTCAAATTCTCAGTTATGATCCCTACTTTTTCATGCAGTGTGCTTAAATCCTTAGAAAGTGTTGATTCATAAGAACAATATATAATTTTGCTTAAGGCATGCAAACAGTGAATAATGTACTTCGTAATATTTTTATTCTTACTTCTCTGTCTGAGTTGACTCATATGAACAATATACAATCTTGCTAAAGGCTTGCAAACAGTGAATAATACGAAGTATGATATTTATTCTTAGTGCTCTCTTTATCTGTCTTCCACTATTTTTTGGTCAACAAATGGTAGATGATTGAATGATGAAACATTGTTTTGATCATTTTAAACCGTCTTACTTGTAAGCATATATTTTATATTTTTGAAGTTGTTTAGATACAAAGGAATTGGGCTTAGTTGTGAATAGTTCAAAGACTTTTGTATGTGTTTCCCTAGAAGAAACCTTGTCCTCTTTCTGTTTCTTCTTTATGAGTGATGATACAGTTATATTCTGATAAAAAAGGAAAAAAAATTGATTTGGTCATTTTACATAATTCATCTCTTATGTTTTCACCATTAATTTTTTATTTTAAGTATATGTTAGAGCTATAGCTAATGGTCTGGAGCTGGTGTTGTGGCGAGGAAGGGGCTGCTTGAAGTTGTTGTGTTGATGCAGAGTAGGTTACGCAGATGTGTGATAGATTCCGGCCAAGCTCAACCAATTAACAGAGAAAAAGCTATAGAACAGTATAATAGAGAAGAAAGATTGAGGCTTTGGTTAACAAAACAACGGTTTACACGATAGCTTCCGGCCAAGCACAACCAATTAACAGAGAAAAAGCAATAGAACAGTAAATTAGAGAAGAAAGATTGAGGCTTTGGTTAACAAAATGACAGTTTACACAATCGACAGGTTTAGCCTATCAAGCTCTATAGTGAAATGAGGTCACAACTCTCTTATGGATTAACTCCCAAATTCTGCCTAATTTCTCCTTTCCCCCCTTTCTCTATTTATAATAAAACTAAATACTTAACCTAAAGATACTAGACTACCCATAGTGCCCCTCCTCAGATTAGTTTTTTACAGGAGTGTCATTCTCGTCATCAAGTCATCTAGAAGGCAAGTAGCCCATTGACAACTAGCAATAGGAGCTCATTATAAGGAGTTCTCATGCATACAATGTGCTTATGTTTGAAATGTTGAATCTTTTCTAAATGAAGTCGTGTCTTACTTTTCAATGTTTTTTTTTTCTTTGTTCATTTTTAACAAATGGTTTTTATTGGCAGGAGTTGGAAACTTACTCAATGCAATTCTAGATCCAATCTTGATATTTTTCTTTAGCTTTGGTATTGGTGGTGCTGCAACCGCCACCGTGATCTCTGAGTAGGTTAAATGTGTAACACAATACTTCAACTCTGGATTTATGAATGAATACCACACGCCTTCATCAGGTTTTTTGCAGAATTTTATTGTACTGAACTACTGATTACTGAAGCTTGTGCTCTTCCTCTCAGATATGTGATAGCCTTCATCCTACTCTGGAAGTTGAATATAGACGTATCTCTGACTTCTCCAAGTATTGATGGTGGAAGATTTATCCAATATCTTAAATCAGGTAGGCTTCTGCTGGTAAAGTATTGGTTTAATCAACTTCTTACATATGTGGGTCTTACATCAAAGTTCAAGAGATGGAAATGATTTTAACACTATGATGGGGCTGAAATTATGTAGCTGCCCTTCATAAGCTGATCTAAAATCATGCTTAATAGGATCTTTATACTGAATAGTCTGGTCATTTGTACATTATTCTAATCTACTTTTGAAATTTGAAAGACTAACTGATAGCCTGATAGAGTGACATTCCCATTAGTTAGTGACAAGTGGCCTGGATCGTTGCCTTATCAATGAGCTGGACTAGTATCATAAATCTTAATTACTTATCTTGGTTTTGTAGATGCAGTGGGATGCCATAGCCATTTAGGAATTGTCAGAGACCCAGAGCTGTTAAACACTAAAGCCGTTCTAATTCACACAATAGTTTTCCTTCCATCAAGCTTGTATTATGATAGTGAAAAGTGTAAAACTATGCATATGTACTTGAAATTACATAGTAGCCTCACAAGCTTTAAGTTTGTAACTCTCTTTAGTTCAATGTTCTTCTGTTGCATCTTCAGGAGGGCTCTTGATTGGAAGGACCTTATCAGTCCTTGTGCCCATGACATTAGCCACATCTTTGGCTGCGAGGGAAGGTCCCATACCAACAGCTGGATATCAAATTTGCTTAGAAGTTTGGCTGACGATATCATTGTTGACTGATGCTTTGGCACTTGCTGGACAGGTAAACCCCCAAACTAAGGAAAAAAATTTGAAGTGAAGGACTATCCCCTGCTGTTTTTTGTGTGCTATGTCTGATACAAAGCATACTATGGATTTTGTATATATGATGTGTTACACTTGCTGCCAATATAACGTTTTTTGATGTTTGATCTTTGGATTTTATGCATCAATTCCGATGTTCGCCTTAAGAAATGATGACTTTTTGGTATGTAAGATCTCAGATTTGGCTCTTACTTTTCCATGTACGGTGATTGAAGAATTTATGAAGATCATATTCTTCTCAACATCCTCTTCATAGACCTTTCTTAAGTTGCTCTCATATGGGCATTTGCTCATTTTGTTCTAATTAAGGTAGAAGTTGTTGAAGCTTTGTCTTATGTGATTTTCACATGGATAAGCCTTTTATATTTTTATTTATTTATTTTTATTTGTGTTTGCGTGCTCGCATGTGTGTGTGTGTGAGTGTAGATATAGGTTAGCTGGTTATTGTTTTTTTTTTAAAAAAAAAATCTTTCTTGCGCTGTGAGGAACAGGTGTTGTCTATGTGTCAAAAGCAGTATTAAATGGCTATTCAGACTGGGATCAGCATAGAGTCGTCTGTGTTTACACATTTAGATGAAGACAAATTTTGGAGGCACTGCTTGTTCATTCAAGTAACTAGGTGTTGTCCCCAACTAGTTCTTTTATGGTATTATGTTGGTCCCACTTATGGAAACTATCTCTTTTTACAGACAGTTGAAAACCAATTTTATTTTAATAGGTATTTTCAATTACTTTTGAATGGTATGAAACTATGAACTATGAAGATCTATTTACGAGAATCTGATAAGAAATAAGGTTGGCTGTGATCGTTTGATGCATTACAGCATATAAAACGATACAACTATACAAGTCCACAATGGATACTACATATCTAACTTGAAAAAGAGCTGAAGTGTACAACTTAAGAAAAAAGTCAAAGCTGTGCCTGCTAAAGATCTCATTTTCACTAGTTACTAATTTTTTCAGCTAATCAGTAAGTATCAATCACTTCACACGATTGGGATGTATATGGTGCAGGAATTAGAGTAGCCTTTCTTCTTGGCTAACATCCCTCAAATTTTGAAGAAATTATAATTATATCCCAGATTCCAGAAAGGATGCTGTTTTTCATATTTAATATATGTGTTAATTGTAGGGGACTTGGCCATGTGGATCGAACTAAAATCTTAGTTATATATATTATTCTGTTAAATGAAGCATACATTTCATCTTTGGCCCTCTTTTTCTTACAGGCTCTTCTAGCTGGCGATTACTCCCAAGGTAATTATGTGCAGGCTCGCCAGGTTGTACATAGAGTGTTGCAGGTTAGAACTATCTTGACTATATTGACCACTCTCCCCCCTCCCCCTCCCCCTCCCCTCCACTTTTCTTTTAATAAGCTCTTGCCTGTTCATTCCTTAAACTTACAAAGTAATTGTACTGAAATCATCTGCAGATAGGCTTTATAGTTGGAATGGGTTTGGCTGTCATGTTATTCCTTGGTTATGGAGTGCTTCTAAACTTATTTACCTCTGATGCAGAAGTCATGAAAGTTGCCTGGTCTGGTGTCTTGGTAAGAACATGGCTTTTGGAACTAGTTATCTACTTATTGCTCTTGGATCCACAGCCTATTCCTTTGTGCCTGGTGAATTATGATCTTTAAATATTTATGGCAGCTCGAGTTGCTTTGTATGTCCTTTTACTACACCTGTACAGAGTTTGTTGATCAATTCAAACATATATGAATCAATCTATATAGAATTTCGGAGAAGCCAAAAGGCAATATTATTTATAAAGAAAGAATTTTCTAAATATAGATGCTTATGCTTTCTGTTTCCTCTACTGCGTTTTATAATAATCTGTGCGTATCAACATAATCTATCTGTAGGAAGAGTGGCACCCGATTAACATTTGAATACTGAAATCAAGTAGTTTAAATCCCTATATAGATTGTCCAAGACTCTAAGTTGGTTGATTTTGCAGTCCGTAGCTTTACGTGTTTACTTTCAGAGGATATACCATGTGTATGTCATTTGCAGCATTGAGATACATAGAAGTTGTTGATACCTCTTTACATTCTGCTGCCTTGTGGACAAAGTGAATTCACTGTAATATTTTACCAAGGTTACTTTGGTCATCCATTTTAGTATGAAATGTCCAATTAATGGATAGTTGGATCAATAACTTCTTAATACTTCAAGAAAATTTAGATGATTTAGAATTCTTTTAGTATCTGGATGTGCACCTATATTGGCTATATCCTCTACTTGGTTTTAAGTACTATGGTTAATTGCAATTTCAATGTCAAAATAATTAACCGTTTTAAACACCGAAGATGTGCCTATAAGTTGGATTTTATAATATACTTCGTATATGGTTTATACCATTATGTGGAATTATGCCAATGTACATGAATGCCCCTGTATTGCATATTTCTGCTGCTCTATTTGCTTGCAGTTTATATTCTGTTGTTTTCTGCATGCCATGCTAATTGGAAGAGCTTCAGTTCTTTAAGATACCTTTGATGATGTGATCTTAGTGGCTGTATGATATGAAGCTTATTCTTCCTAGTTATGATATCTGCCAAATATGGATAATATAATATATTACTATGAGCCTTTTTTGATGTAACATCAAATATGCATACCACATAATATTTACACTATGATGCAGTTTGTTGCTGGATCACAACCGGTCAATGCAATTGCATTTGTTCTTGATGGGCTCTACTATGGTGTTTCAGACTTTGAGTATGCTGCCTACTCTACGGTAACAGTTATTGCCAAAGAATTAAATAGGTTTTGAGAATGAGTATTTTTTACCAGATAGCTTTAATCCATACAGTTAGTAGCTTTATTCCATATCTTTTTGGGTGCAGGTTGTAGCTGCAGTGATCTCATCAATTATTATGCTACTTGTTGCTCCTGGTAATGGTCTCCTTGGGGTTTGGACAGGGCTGTTTCTGTTCATGAGCTTGCGTGTAGTTGCTGGATGTTGGAGGTGAAATTTCTGTGTACTTGTACAATTAACGTGCAACATATGCTATCATTCATGACCTGTCTTGAATAATTTTGGTATAATTTGAGTGTGATTTTTATGCTTGCTTATTGAAAGCTAGAGGGTTTTCACTGCTTTCCAATTTGCTTATATTTTCACTGTCCTACTTTTTTATTTTATAATAAATTTAATTATAATGAATCTAGGTTGGGGACAAGGAGCGGACCATGGATCAGTGTTTGGTCTGAAACAGATTAGAAGAATTGCAGGTGTGCTTCAGAATTGTCCAATAGATTGCCTCGTGGCTAACCTTAGTTAATTTGACTCAGATGACTACTAAGAGTCTAAAATGCTATTGGACAGATCCTTGATCCCATGCCAGCATAAAGTCAGAATCAAACACATATTGGTACTTTCAAGCCCTGTTGGAAGATACTTCTGGATTTCGTTAGCAGCATGGCTTCTGGAGGGATTGAGAGATGAAGCCATGGCAATGTGATTTGCTGCAGCGATTTCACAGTTTAATGTTGCTGGAGTTGGCAATATGCGAGCTTCCATTGATTAAACAGCGTAACACAGTTCCAACTCACAATTATTAAGGTGCATACATCTGTAACTTTTGACTGCTACCTGGAACTGCACATAATTGCTATTCTGCTATTACTTGTAAATACTGACTGAAAAGTATCATCTTGATAATACCCTTATTTGCTTTGCTCATTTTTTTTCCTGTTTTCCTTGATGTAATCTGCAGTTTACTGAATGTATGACTTTTAACATATTCTCAGTGACCATACAGCTGAAGCAAAAAAAAAAAACAATTGTTGTAAAATGCAATGATAAAATTATAGTGCAATATAAATACCTATACATTCTTAGTAATCTGCCTCCTATCCCTTACTGCATCATCCTTCCTCAATGACTTACCAAAATTCATTTGGACTATAATAGCCAAAATGTGAGGAAAATTCTACAACAACTACGCTAAAATGGCACCTATTTTTAAGAAACCAATTAAATTAATTACTGTAACCAACAGTAATGCTTACTGATTAGCTTAGAGGTAAGTAATGAGACTTTCAACAATTCTTGGGTGTCTGTGTCCCTATCAAATCTGATAGATCAGCAAAATCATCAAAATTGAATAAAGCTTCTTCAAAGTTGATTAAATTAGTCAAATCACCAAAATCAATTGAATCTTCATTGAAGTTGATTAAACCAGTAGCATCATCCAAATCCAGTGAACCTGCTTCCTGTTTTTGCCAGTTTCCACAGAGCATGTCTGGTGAAGAGAGTTCCTCTGAAGGTCTCTGATCACAATCATGACAAGATTGATCTCTAGTCACAATTTCCATTGATTTAACTAACCCTTCCTTCCAACCTCTAGCGCTTGTTGCTCCATTTTGTTCTTCCTGCACTGCATTCTCAACATCAGCAATATTGCAAGGCTTCCTGTTACTTCTCACTTTGCCTTCTAGATCATGAATCCCTTCCTGTATGGCATTCTTTACCATATTTTTTCTATGACTCTCCATGAAATTTGGCTCACTTTCATCACCACATTTAGGTAGTGAATTTACGTAATGTCTTATTGCAGAATCAACATTTTTTTCTGATGATCCGAAAACAGATGAACCTGTTGATACTGATCCACTGTCAGGAAAATTGAGAATGGCTGAAGCCCCATAAAGAACCCGAGCAGCCTCATCATAAGCTCGAGCAGCTTCAATGGCAGTTGAGAAGGTTCCTAACCATAAACGTTTTACTTTATTGCCACTAATTTCTAGCTCACTAGAGCATGGTTTGCGGATTTCGGCCACCCATTTACCCCAAACCCTCTGCCTAACACCTCTGTAACTGCAACTCGAGTTCTCTGGACCGCCTTTTCCTTTCATACAACCCCTCCTTGAACCCTTTGGCTTCTGATTCTTCTTTGTTCCAAACTCCGCCTTTCTTGAATCATTCAACACCTTTTCACTCCTCCATTTTGCTAGTGTTTTCGAAACTTCAATATTTGCATTCAGCCTTCTTTTCTTCCTTTCAACTTGATCTTCGTTTCCAAATGACATGGCTTTATTACTAAGCTGTAATTTTACAGAATTTGAGGGGTTTTAAGTTTTTAACAGAGGTTTTGCAAAGAAATTTTTTGTTTGTCTTGTGTAGTTTTGGACGTGAACAGGAGAAATTTCAATACTAAGAAATCTTCAAAAAAATTAAGTTAATAATATAAAGTTGTCATGCAACTCCGTAAAAGATTATTACATATTTGATGATGTCTGTTGTCTTAATGTTAAGTAATAAAAAAGGTGACTTGGCGTTTCCTTGGCCGCTGGTTTTTCCTAATGTTTAAGGTTTTGCTTGTCATTTTTATATCCTTTTTGCAAGTTGATCTCGCTTTCTTGGGGATCAAGGAAGTATTTAAATTACCTCTTTTTTCTTTTTTTATTTTATTTTATTTTTTTTAATAAAAAAAAGTACTACGTATTTGAATTCCTTCCTTCCTCCTTCCTTTTATTATTATTATTATTATTATTATTATTATTTATAAATTGTTTCTACTTAATTTTTGTATGCGTTTCATTTCGACGTTTACAATATTCACACTATTTTATGTGCACTTTGATACATAAGATTACAAATAACCATACAACTACTTGTTAGAATTATCTTATTGTATGACTAGTTTTGTGCCACGTGCAATGCCCGACTTGTTTATTAAATTTAAAGATAAAACTTTTTATCTAAAATATATATGTTATTTGAATATTCTACTCATGAAATGCTGCTCATAAAGATATGGGTGGTTTTAAGAAAGAGTTTGAGTTGGTAGTTTTGAAAGTGACGCTAGCTAGTAGTATAATTAGAGTAATTAGAAGAAATCGGTTTGGAGTTGCACCTATTTTCATATAACACTAAATAATTCACGTAACACTATTTAATCCATGTAACACTGATCGAGTAACCCTTGCAACACTGACCGAGTAACCCTTGTAACACTGACGAAATTACCCTTAAATCATAACATGGACCGATTAAACCCTAAAACAAAGACATAGTAACCCCTATAACACTAACTAACGTATGTAACAATAATTAAGTAACCCTCACTATGGCTAGCCACATAAAAGAGTTTGTGATTTTATGATTCAGTTGATTTCAGCTTCAATCAGTTCAGTTCAGTAAATGAAAACAAACCCCCCCCCCTTTTTTAAGAAAGTCCTTTTTTATTTTTTATTTATTTTTTATTTATTTTTTTTAAGCAAGAAAGAAAGCCCTAATTTTATTGAAAGTAAAAACTCTAAAATAACTTTTTTATCTTATTAAATCTATCCAACTTTTTTATCTTGTTCAAAAAAATATTTAAATAAATCCTGCATGTTATATTAATAAGTAATTGTCGCTTATGTGGCGCGACACTTGGTGAAAATTTGGAATGTCAAGTGTCGCTGTCTCGTGGCCTGGCTAAAAGTTTAGTTTTATATACTCATATTAGTTACTAATTTTGTGCCCCGTGCGATGCCCGGGTTGTTTATGGATTTTTAAGATAAATTATAATTCAATCCGTATATATGAAATATTGGTAATTTTTTTTTAAAAGATATGAAATATTGGTATTTTATTGAAATAAAACTCTAAATAATAAACCAAATTTGATTGAAAATTGAATTCTAAATTAATTATCTATGCTACTAAGTCTATCTTTATCTATCCAACGTGGTACGACACTTGATATAAAGTTGAAACGCTAAATGTTGTCTTGTGGCCTAATTATAAGTTTATTATTTGGTAATTTATCGAAAATAAAACTCTAAACTAACAATCTTATTCTAAAATTCTATCCTAATTTGATTGAAAATGAAATTCTTAACTTTTTTATCTTATGAAGTCTATCTGAATGTGTCCAATGTGGCGCGACACTTGACGATAAATTAGAATGCCAAGTGTCGCTGTCTCGTGACCTGGCTAAAAGTTTAGCTTTATATATTAGTTATATGATATAATTTTCGAATATAAACTTTTTATAATAGTCGTGTCTCGGCAGATTAGGGCAAGTAGGGTAGACAAAGAAGTAGTTTTTTACATGGACATAGTAGAGTTGATCAAAGTTAGCCCAACCCATCGGCCCGGCCCGAAAATTTATTTTTTTGTCCGGGTTTGGGAATGCATTTTAAGGCATATTTAGTTGATTTTTTAGGCCCGGCTCAAAAATGGCCCGACCATTTTGGGCGGGTTTGGGCACAAAAATTTCGGCCTAAAGCTTGGCCCGACCCGGTCCGGCCCGACAAGTGGGCATAATTTTTTAGCTTCGGCTCGAACCCGACCCGGCCCGCCCAATGATCACCTCTAGGACATAGAATCATTTTGTATTTATGTTGGCTTAATTAGTTTTTTTCCTTCTAAGTTTGTGTTCATTTCCGCCAAAGTGATGATGCATTGGGGAATAGAACCCAACCGATCGAACAACATAACCATGGCAAAGAATCCGATCTTTCATAGTCGGCAAAACACATTGAGATACGACATCACTTCATCTGGGAGCTAGTCAAAAACTAGAAATCAAGCTACAATTCTACAAGACTGGGGAGCAGCTCACAGACATGTTCACAAAGGCACTTCCAGCACATAAATTTATCGAGTTCAGAAAACAATTTGGAGTTCAAGATTTTTCAAATTAAGGGGGAGTGTCAAAATATTAATCTTAAAAATCTAGAAAAACTATCTATTGCAAATATCCTAGAAAAATGTAGTAGTATGTAATATCTAGAAAATTCTAGGATTATGTCTAATATAACTAGGTAGACTTAAGAAAAATCTAGAGAGTTTATCCTAAAATAATCTAGATTAATGTTACACTAGTTAAATCTAGAGAGTTCTAATACATTATATAACCTTCACATCTAGGCCTATATATAAATAGAGAAGGTTATGTATGATGATGAAGTATGTAACCCATAACATTATCAATCAATATAATGCCTTGTTTGATTCACCTTATTTTTGCTGATCTGATCTAATCTGACTAAACTTTGACCTTAAGTGTACGATAATCTATAAGGAAAAAATGTATCAAGGGATCTTGTTAGATTCGTAATAATGTGATGTTTATTAATATGTAATTTTCACAATTTTTTTCAGTACGAAATTAAAGATATTGAGCGATAAAAAACCGCACATAGAACGATATTCTGATCTGAACTTATTTTTTCTAATATGAACTTATTTTTCTGAAATAAGTAAAAACAAGGTGAACTAAACAAGGCCTAAATTAATTATTTCATTACTAAGTCTTTCCCTATTTATACATCATATAACATTTCCTCTCCAATTATCAACTAACCCACTAATTCTACTAACCCATCACTACTTCCGCCTAACAATTTCCAACAGTAATCAATTCTTGATCCATATCAAAACATTTCAAAATTAAACACAAATTTACAATCGATGTAGTATTAAGGATGCGCATGGGGAAATTCAAAGGAACTCTCAAATTATCGATAAACAATGAAAGAAATTGAGGGTTTTTGTTACAAATAACGTTAAACTAAACATTTAGCATATCCTACATAACAATAACCCCTTCGCCATTGTAGACACCCATTTGTGTCTCCCCAAAACCAAACCCAGTGATGAATACCTTTCACGTCATTTGATTATCGAACAAAGTGAAAGTGTGAAAATTCTAGTGATGAGGATGTTTTTATTAAAATATCTCTTCTTTCTGTTTTTGAAAATATTTCTTTTCTTACCCTATTTTTTAAAAACGTGCATTCCAGTTTAGTTTGGTCCATGATATGGGTCCAATAATGGTGTAGTTGGATGGGGCTTGAAAAGACCTTTCCAACGATATATTATAAGCCC